CCTCCTTGGGAAGTGGTCTCTTCAAATAGAGAACTGTGTTCGTCACGGAGTCCTGAGGATCTGCGCTGTGTATAGGGAGTAGCATAAATACCACCGCTTCCTCTCACCCGAGCTTTCTTCTAAAAAACAGAGATTCCTTGCAAATTGCCCCAGCCCCTGTGGGAAGCAGTTTGGAGATATCTCGGAGAACTTAAGACAGAACTACCATTCGACCCCGCAATCTGTCACTGGGTACCTATTCAAACGAAAATAAACTGTCCAGCTGAAAAGACACATGCGCGCCTATGCTCATCACGGCACCATTCACAATGCAAAGACGGGGAATAAACCTGGGTGTCCATCCACAGTGGACTGGATAAAGAAACTGTGGTACATATACACCATGGAATACTATGCAGCCATAAAAAAGAACAAAACCATTTGCAACGTGGAGGCAGCTGGAGTCCATGATCCTAAGCAAACTGATGCAAGAAATCCCCATACTGCATGTTCTCACTCAGAAGTGGGAGCTAAGTCCTGGGTATACACAGACATAACGATGGGGACAAGAGATACTGGGGACTCCAAAGGGAGGGGAGGGAGGACAGGGCTGAAAAGCCTCCTACTGGGTACAGACGTTCACTATCTGGGTGACAGGATCGATAGAAGCCTAAGCTTCAGCATCATGCAAAAAAATACAGTACGCCCTTGTACAGACCTGCACATGCCTCCCCTGAATCTAAAATAAAAACAGAAATGGAAAGACTGAGATCCCTCCCTCCCTCCCTTCCATTCCTCCGTCCTTAGGTAGTATGTTCAGTATATATGTGTGGGCATGTGTTTGTGTACACACCCATGCATAGCCAGGTATACAGAAGGGAAACTGCTTGTAATCCCCTCACCCAGAGACAGGGGATGAGCTCTGACCCCGTTTCTGGGCGTCGCACCTGGGCACATGCCTTATGCGTTGTCTTGCATCAACTCTTCTTCCTTATCGCTCCATTGGGATGGGCCTCTTCCCAAGGGAATAAAACAGGCTGAGATTACGCCCATTCTACTGAATGTTTCCAGTGGAGGTATCCGGTCCCTCACTGCTGGGTCAGGGAGTTGATCCCATTTATTCGCGTAACACAACTTTGGTGACATCCCTGGCCACACTTCTTTGCATGTGCCTTGGAGAGGTCTTTGTTCTCACTCTATTTTTTTTGTGTCTTGTAGTTTTCAAAGATCTTTGAAGTCTCTTGCTACTTCCCGCACTCTTCTGAGGCAAGCCCCCCATCGCCGTTTTATAGATGAAAACACCGAGGACCTCCCTTGGCAGGTGGGGTTAGGGACGCCCATATTCACCGCCCTGGCTCCCTGCACTGGCCTCACCTCCGAGTGGCAGGACCTGGCCCTCCCAGAGTCGGGGAAGCTGTTTCTCCATCTTAAAAGCAAGGCAGGTCCTGGCAGGATACCTAATGGGAGAAGTCCCAATGGGAGGAGGCCCAGTCCACTTCGGGCTTTGGCCCAGAGGGGGACACAGTGGAAGGTCAAGAGAAACATGCTAACCCCACAGATGCCATCATTAAAAGGTGATGAAAAGAACCAGCCCATCTGTGAGGCCACCAGCTCCAACCTCTCCCAGGCCCAGACCACAGCATCCTCATCCCATCTGCTGTCCTTATTGCCACAGTTTATTAGACGGATGTCTGTGAGCACCAGCAGGTGACATGCCCATGGCCCTTCTTTGTACTGGCTGCATCCTGGAGCTGACGGGCACTCCTGGGAGGTGGGGCAGGGAGGCCCAGGTGTGCCTCGGAAATGCGTCTGACACTCGGGTGGGGCCACAGACACCAGGATTCCCTCTGGCTTCTGGGCCTGGTCTGGGGCATGGTGACTCAGGCCTGACATCCTTAGATGAGGAAGATTCTGGGATTGGGTGTTCTCAGATACTCTGGACCTGCTATCACAGGTCACAGTCCTGGCCCCAAACCCAGCCACACAGGGCATCAGGAAGGCTGCAAAGCCCTGAACTGGGCCCAGTGCCCCGGCCGGGACATCACAGCTGGACTGAGGCCCTCATGCCCCTCCCCATCACTTCTGGGTGCTTTCTCCCTCCACCCTGCCAGGCTCTGTGGATTCGGGAGCCCAGGGACTGGGTTTCCATGGCTGCTGCCTGCTCCCTGTGCCCTCACAGTGACCCACACTGCAGCCCCTCCAAGTCAGAGTGAAGGCAGTGGCCCCCACAGATCTGGGGTGACTGGAGCTTGGCTGTCTCCTCCAGTGGCCTTGGGGGGACCCTGAGAGCATGCTCACTGTGCAGGTTCTTAGGGAAAGGGGCTTCTCCATAGTTCTCCAGGTCCTCGTTTCCCCAGTTCAGCTCACTGTGGCCTCTGCGGACGGTGTTGCCAGGCGTGGCGGTCTGCGGGGAGGTGAACGCGCGGAGCGGCCCACGGTGGTCTCGTGTTCTGCTAACCTACAGCCAAGACAGGGCATGGGCTCCCTGCTCGGGTGACTAGAGAGCCTCTGGCCACTGCTGCGTGGAGCGGGGACAGCTCTCCACTCCTGCATGCTGGAGAACAGCAGCCAAAGGGTGGGGGGTTAGTGCCCTGGGGGACCTCATGTGGTGGGAATACCGCCCGCCAAGGCTCCTGTGGGTGAGGGAGGCCCACTCTCTGTGTGGCTTAGGGGGAAGGACCAAAGCCTGCTGGGGGCCCAGGAAGCTGACCATGATACCTTGGAGTGGGGCATTCTGACGAGAGCTACCTGCCTCCGGCCTGGGGGGCTGGGGAGCACAGGGTCCTTTGTCCCAAGGGTCTGCTTCACCATCAGCACTGAGAGAGCCACTCCATGCACAGTGTGCAGGACCTGGGCGTCCTGGCCCAGAGCTCCACCGCCACGGCCAGGCCAACTTCTACCTGGAATGGGGTTGCCAAATCTCAGCCCATAGCTCTTGCAGAAGAGCTGGCTCCAGAGTGTTCCAGAACGTCTCAGGTCTGGCTCAGGGGTTCTCTCACCTGACCCGAGGTTCCCGAAAGGGTGGAGTCCAGCCCGGGGTGTGGTGGCAGATGGCCCGTCTGGTCAGGTGGGAGGAGCCCTCGGTCGGGCTATCTGTCCTCTGGCAAGGGGCTCAGGGGAGGCAAGTGCCAGTCCCCAGGGCCACCAGGCAGAGTCCAGCCTGCTCAGGACCGGGCTCCATGCTCCATACAGGCTTCCTTGTCGCCTGCCAAGTGTTACATGTGCATCCGCTTGTCCTCGTAGCCATGGCAATCACAACACACAAAAGCACTCCTTTTTGCACAATCTCACATGTTGCTTAACATTAGGACCCTGATACTTTCTCCAGCTGGGTTTTCTTAATGTGAGTCAACACATCAGCCTGGATGCAGGCATTCCACTGGTGTTCAGGGTCCCACCAGCAGTGATGTGTACCTGGAAGACCTGGAAAGAACCCCTGGGTGTGCACGCGTGTGGTGCTGTGTGTACAATGGCCCTCACGTAGAAACAAGGGGAAAAGACAGCCGCCTCACCCCAGGGCTGGAGCATCTCTGGTGAGAACCACGCACACCACGTGCACTCTGCTCAGACGAGCTCCTTGGGACCCACCTGGAGCTGAGCACTCCAGCCCCTCCACGGCAGCAGACCCTTCCCTGCCCTTCCTCCCCTACTGCATCAGAGTCCATGACAACGAAAGCTGGCGGGCTCCACTCTGCACCCTCTGACCACATCACACCTGCAGAACGTGCCTGACCGCCCAGGTCCCCACACTGCCAGGGACTTTCAACAGGCCAGAAAATGGCAGCCTGGAAAGAAGTCCTTAACAGGAGGGCGGGTAATTTTCTCCTAAAGCCTCCCAACACTGATACCATACTGTACGGGATCTATCTTAATTACTGTCCATGTGGAACTTTTGTCTGGTGGCTTTTTTTTTCAATGAAAAAAACATTAATGAGAAACTTTAAAGGCTTGTTAACAATGTCCTTTCATCAATCAAAGGTGCTGTCAGGCTGGGCTCTGCCGTCAATTCGCACCTCACTGCCCAGCATCCACTTCCTACTTTCTCATCCACCCCTGCCCCTGCCCCCATTACAGATCCTTGTCGAGGTGACCTGGTGATGGAGGCCAGACGTTTCCCATCTGTCAGCAGCTGGAGCCACGGGGTCCCGAGGATGCTGGATGGCTGCCCTCTGCGGCCTAGAGACAGGTCGGTACCTGCAGTCTCTCCACCTTCCTGTCTCTTCAGACAGACAGACAGATGGAAAGATGGACGGGGCTGCTTGGCAGAGGCCTTGGGCAGAGCCATGTTGAGAGTTCAGTGTCTTTCAAACTGAGAAGTAAAACCCAAGTGAACTGCAGCTCTTTAAACACAACTTTTAATCAAATGCCCATGAACAAGAAAGAAAGAAAAAAAAAAACCCCATATGGTCTGAAGGAAGCCAAAAAATGTAAATCCCCACCCCAGGGTCTTGGACTGCTCCTGAGGACCCCGCCGCCCTGACAGCAGCAAGGAGACAGGCAGACCAGACAGGTGAGGCCCCAGGACGTCCCAGCAGCTGCGGCCGAAGTAAGGGCCGTTTCCAGATTGGTCTTCCGGTAAAATCTTCTTAGTAAAATGATTTGTTCCTACATGAAGCCAATTTATCTATCACTTCAGAATGCTCCTCTGTGCTGTTAGAACCCCAAGCAGCACGGAGACGGGCAGTGACGAACAATCTCATGTCAGCTTAGTGTGACATCCTGCCCGCTCCAACGGGTGAGGTCCAAGCTGGCACCACTGCCCATGGTCACTGCTGTGGGTGCACAGACAGCCAAGGTGGGCAAGTGGCAGATGAGATGGGGAGGGGACATGGCCCCTGGGGCTGTTTTGTCCTTGTAGCCAGGTCAGGGTTTACAGCCAGACAAATCTGTAAATGCATTTCTGCAAGGAGGACACTTCACATTGCTTCCAGAATACTCCCCAGAGTCCAGCACTCCACAGGCTCCGGTGGGTCACACCACCACTCAGGTTTCTAAGCCATTGGGTGTGGGGGATTTCATGCTTATCTTACAGTTTTGTAGGAAATAGGTTCCAGGGTAATACTGCTGTTTACAAACAAATTAAGAAACAAAACTGATGATTCCAGTGTAAACGTATCTATACTGGACTTGCTTGGAGCCTCCAAATGGGATTCTGGAGAGGCACATGGGGCGCTGTGCACCAGAGACACTCAGGTCTCACAGATGGTTTCAGTTGTTGGCATGTTATCCAGCCACCAGAGGGGTATTTAGTAAGCTGTTTCTGCTGGGTAAAAAGTGAATACAAATTACAAACGCCAATTAAGTTCCCTGTAAGGTGAGCTTGCCTGCTTCCTCTGCAACGCCCTAGCCTGCAACCTTCACATCTGGAAGCGCAAATTCGTGCCCATAAGGTCTGCAAATCCTCAGGCGAGCGCTCTTCCAGCTGCCCGATTCTGCGTTCACCAACACCCTAACAGGTGCGTCTGCACGGTCACAGCTTCTCCTCTTTGGCCTCATAGACTCACCACTGGAGGCGGCCACAGGACACGTGGAATGTGGGTGGCTTTACTGGACCCTTCTGTTCCCAATGGGAAAAGAGACTGGGAGGACAACCCCTCACAAAACCCAGTGTCCTGCGTGGCCAAGGGCGACTATTTTGTTCCCAGTGTGGTTCTGCAAAAACACACACTACTTCTGACTCTCATTCTCTCTGGAAGCAGGTGAGCCTGGCGCGGTGGGTCTGAGCAGCTGCGAGGTGGCTGTTCCGTTGCGGCGGGTGTCGGTGTCAGCCTTCAAAGCATCAGGGTCTGGGAACACAACAGGGTGAGGGGACCCGGGGCTGGTGTCAGCCTTCAAAGCATCAGGGGTTGGGGACACAACAGGGTGAGGGGACCTGGAGCCAAGGCCGAAGAACACAGCTTTCTTGTTTCAACATTTCTTTTTATTTGGAAAACATTTTTGAATTTCTTTGTGCCTGCCCTCTCCCTCTGTATCTTCACGAACCGTGCTGCAGCTTGGAGCCAGAGTGGCTCTAGGCGACCCACGCGCTGGCTTTTCATGTCGGCCTCCGCAGAGCTTGTCCTTGGAGCGGTACATGGCCCCGTCGGTCTGCGCCCTGCTGCTGCAGCTGTCAGAGGAACCTCGGAGCATCTATCAAGCCTGTGCTACAGCGCCGTGGAAACCTGGGAGAGGATGCAGAACGTGGCTTTGTGCTGCACCGAGGGTATGGCCCACACAGGCCCACATGTGATCCCAGGCCACACGGAGCTGCTGGCTCACCTTGGACGGCTTTGATGGGCAGGTCCCCTGCTGCCAGGAGCTGATCTGGGTCTGGGGGCTCGGCCCTCGCTGTCTGCAGTCATGTGGACCCAGGACCCTCCCTCCGAGCCTGTGCCTGCTTAGAGACCTGGAGATCTCACTGGAAGGCTCCCATCGTTCATGGGACCCAAACAGCGGAGGCAGGCTGCACGCAGCATGGGTGTCTGCCAGTCGGCGTGTGGCTGCGGGGGGTGGCCTGCAGGGTCTCAGGGTGCAGAGGAGACATCCACTGGGGTGCTGCCGGGTCGCCCTCCTTCAATTCCATCCTGTAGCAGGGAAGTGGTGCCGGGGTCTCCAGGGCACACCGCACGGCTCTGGTGCCCTCTGTTGGAAAGCACTCGCGGCTCGCACACCAGGGCCACCAGGCCCCAAGCTGCTGCCTTAGAGAGCCAGAAGCATTCTGTTCACACAGAGGGAAATGCTGGGCCTGGTGACCTGCCATCACTGGAAAGGGACATTCTCTGTGGGGGACGCAGGCACCACCTCTGGGGCAGACGGCACCCAGCTCTTCCCACTCACCTTCGGCAATGTCAAAAATGACCAGACAGCCTGTGAGTCCTGATGGTGACACACGGTGTGCAGTACCCAAGGCCTGCCTGGAGCAAGGAGGCCCAGGGGCCCGTCCCACAAAACAGCACGTGTCTGCATGACCTGCTGTGCGACTTCCCCTGCTTCAAAAGCAGCAAGAGTGAAGAGAGTGGGGCAAGAGTCACGTGACTGTCACAGGAAAAACCCAGAACTTGACTGATGCCAGAAACGGATATGATAAACCCTAAATCAGCGAGAAAAGCCCGAAATCTGATTTCTTTTGTTGGTGTTAAGACAACATGAAATACAAGGCAGGTCCTGATCACACATGTCGCGAGGCCACGCTTTCATCCAGGCCTCGGTGACGTACAGAACCGCACCAGCTTCCCTGCTGTGGTTCACTGTGGCAAAGAATGCTGGGTAAGAACCCGGCACTCTGGTGCCCAGGTGGGTGCGGGTTCTTTCTCTATACATCACATGCTCTGTTTTATTCATCTACCTCCAGAGCGCCAGGTTTCCCTTCAGAATTTTGGAGTCTGTCAATTATACGGCTAGAAGGACAACACGAGAATGAGGCATCAGACGGTAGCACGCGGCCAACGCCAGAAACCCTCCCTGCTGCCATCAGTGACATGAGCTGGCCCACTAGGGTCGTGACCTTTGACTTCCAGGATCGACACTGGGGTGCTGGGGTCCTAACAGGCCCATGGTCCCTGAGGCCCCTTTGGGGCAGCCCCCGAGATGAGAAGCCCAGGTCCCTTCCTACCTGCTGCCCGGGCCACACTAGGCCAGGGCACATGGAGAGAGGGCGAGACTCCAGCTCCCAGAGAGGTGCAAGCTCCACTGAACCGTGTGCAGAGAGCTCTTTGTCTCGCCAAATCTTGGCATATGGTTGTTTTCTACCCACCCGATACAGGTCATAGGTGGATGCCTCTTGCGTTAGCCTTTCTGGCAGGTGGAAAACAAAGCTATAAAAACCTCTACAAGCATCGGCTCCCAAGGCCGGCTCCCCTTTCCTTCAGTGAGACCTGAGTGTGGGATGTGAGGAACTGTGAGTGGGAAACGTCGTCACTGCGTGGACACAGCCAGGAGGGCGGCATGGTGGGCATATGCTGGGACAGGGCCAGCTTTCGAGTGTGGATGGCCTGGGACGGGCCGAAGCTGGCCTCGGATGGCAGCTGTGGCAGTTGTCTGTGGCCTGCGGGTGGGCTGTGGCCCCAACACGGGCCAGGCCCTCCCCACTTGCTCAGCCTGTTTTAATGGACAAGAAGAACAGCAATGGCAGCGTTAGGGAAGGAAACGTATGTATTCACGGCTGCGTGGCTTTGAACTCACGACGCTGGAAAACACGGAAACAGAGAGGGCAGACACGTTCGTTCCCCAGGAAACAGTCACCTCCTTTAATATAGCCGTGTCCCCACACCCTACGTCTGATGCAGTGTTACATGTGTGTGTCGTTTAAGCATCACTCAGTTGGGGCCAGCAGGCGGGGAGCCCGAGGTGGGCCCCACCGTCCCGAGCCAGGCCCCTGCCCGACCCGAGCTCCCTCCCGAGGCTGGCTTCCGCACCCGGTGGCCTTCGTGGACCAGAAGCCATTCCTTCACCGCCAGTCCTCCAGAGTAGTTGCCCATAGCTCCGCTGCTGCACACCACTCTGTGGCACGGGATGAGGATGGGGACCTGGAAAACAGGGGGAGACCCATCATCTTTTAGGGATCTGGCCAATGAGGTCTTTGGGGACAAGGGCAAAGCCCTGATTGACAGGGGTCCCATGCCCTCCAACAGGGGCCCGTGTTGGGGCCAGGTCGTTGGCATGGGTGGGTGCCAGCTGTGTCTCAGCATTAACTCCTACTCAGGCCCTTGAGTCCCTGGGGGTCTCAGCATGGCTGGAGGAGGGATGCATGTGCTGAGGTGGTGTGGGCATCTTCAGATAATCACTTTGTGCCGAGATTTGGGAGGAGAAAACTTCATTTCATCCGGTGAGTAATTTACAATGTTCACTTACAAAACTGAAAGCTACATCTCCGAGTTCTGGCAGTACGTGACGCTTTCAGCCCTTCCCAGATGTCACCTGGGCATCACAGGAAGTGTCAGGAAGACTGGACCTGCACAAGCCTCTCCAGCCTATGGCCGGCCAACTGTGGGCCTGTGCAGCCCACCACGTGCTTTTGTAAATGAAGTTTTACTAGAACCCAGTCATGCCTTTTTCTCCATACTGGCTGTGGCTGCTTTGCCAAGCCTGACATATTTACTCTCCGGCCCTTGACAGGAGGACTTGGCCGACCCCTGCCACACGCTGTCCCGGGAGTGGCGATGTGTTTCCCTCCTTAGTCTTGGGGTGCCTGTAGGGGTCTGAGAAGCTCCCTGGCCACCCCCACCGGGGGCAGGGCATGGCCAGTTCCTCCCCTGGATACCAGCTGGGATCCTACAGGCTGCTGTGGGCAGCCTCCCCACTCAGAGGCTCAGGAGACAGCTGTTGTCCAGCCCTTCACCCGAGAGTTAAGCTGAGGACACACCTGTCTTAAACTAGCAGAGGGGCTTCAAAAGCAAGCTCATGTCACAAGGAAAACAACCCCCACTCAACCAGAGGAAGAACTGAGCAAAAGGGCTCCACCAAGGGACCCAAGGGAGCGACAGCTTTCAAGGTGCCATCTCTACATTGACCAAACTCACCAGCAGCCCAAAATGCTGCCGTCCTCATCCTGCATATGAGGCCAGGGCTGGCACCACCATGAAAGGGTGAGGGCACGGAGACCAAGCTGCAGGCGGTGGCTTCCTCGGGGCTCCTGCACCCCCAGGGACAGGGCCCTGGCTGCGGTCTCTTGGGGCCTGTGGCAGCATCAACCTGATATTTCCTAGCCTGGAGTCAGCACGATCCGGACCTGTGGCTTCCCTGAGGTCGGGGTGCCCTGTGCTGACAGGGCTGATCCAGAGCGAGGACCACAACCATGCGGCTACGCACAGGCCCTGGCTCCTGCCTGCCAATTGCTTCTTTGTGGCCAGTCCTGCCAGGGGAAGGGAATCCCCGTTTCCTCTAGAGGGGTGGGCACCTCCTTCAGCACAGTCCTCAGGGAAACTCTGCCTTTGTCCTTTGGCGTTGCCTGAACTGTGTAGATGGGAGGAGCTCCGTGGGTCCACTGACCGCTTGAAGCTCCGACAGCCACCTGTGTTGGGTGGGGGTGGGGGCAGCTGCTGTGGCCCCTGCCTCTGGTTTCCATGTAGCTCCTGGCCTCCTCCGGTCTCACTCCCACAAGGAAGAAGAGTGACTGACCACCGATAAGGGAGGAAGAGAAGGGTATGCCCAGCTTAGCACCATAGGGCTCCTGCAGGTGACCCGCTGGCCCCATGGTTGGGGCACCCTGGTCTCTTCTGAGACGGTCAGCCCCTGCTCTGGCTGGGGAGACCTAAGCCTAGCCAGCGGGGACAGTGATGAGGCGTGTGATTCTTGCAGGAATTACTGGGAAGCCACCAGGGCCATGCCCCCCGCCCCCACCTTCAATCTTGCTTTTATCCTAACAAAGCTAAAATCTTGAGGTCTGCTATCCATTTCTCGGTTGGCTCAGAAAAGCGGAAGACAGGAATGTAACATATGGGTGTCTCTCTGGTTGTCCCCCCTGCCTGGGCAGCCAGGGATGGCCACACAGCCTGCATGCCCACCACAGGGGATGCCAGGGGCTCAAAGGCCATTTGCTTAAGCATCCCAACAAAGGTTATGTGAAGAGCTGCTCCCAGATGGCTTACCAAGAGCACATGGGGCAGTCTCCCACCAGGAACGCGTGGGGAAGTCTTGCGCAGCTTTCTAAGGAAAGAATGGGCAGGACAGCCCCCCTCCCCGGGCAACCGACTTCATCCCTAAGTAGCTCATGGTGCCTGGGGAGCAGGGGCGTGGGTGGGCAGCCACAAAGGGGCCAGGACATCTCGGTGGATATGTGGGGAGGCATGCCTCATCATCGTGCAAAGCATCACAGTGGCTGCTCCGCGAAGAACATAAACTACCAATAAGCACAACGACCAGAACCAGCGCAGGCTCCAGAGAAATGGGGAAGGGCACCAAGCTCGCTCTGGAAAGTTTTCGGCCAGCACGACATGTGGAAGGTGAATGGGAGGAGTCTAGGGACCGTTCACTGCCTGGCCTCCCTTCCTCCCTGCGTCCTGAGCTGCAGGGCAGCCCACTCGTCCCAGCACCCCAGACGACCCAGACACGGATGCTGACCTGGGGCCTCTCCCCAGACTTCACACATGGCTGCCCTGCTCCCAGCGTCCTGGCCTGATGAGGAAAAACAGCCATTCCTGCAGGAACCCAAGGACGAGGCATGCTCAGGCTACCCCTGGGTATCACTCTGGTACCCCTGGGTATCCCTCCGGCTCTGCTCTTCTTTTTCTCTCCACGTATTCCCAGATGAAAAGAGAGATGATCTCCACCCATGCCCAGCTTCCCCACACTCCACGTTCCAAAGCCAGTGAACTACACAAAGCAAACAGTGACTGGTCAGGTGAACTTTCAGAGGAAGCTGCTGGGGACGTGTGCCTGGCATCTCCAAGCTCTGTTTCTTGGGCAGCTCTGCTTCTTGGGGAGGTGATTCCTGCCCTTGTACCCCCGAAGGCTTTTGGGGCAGGCAGCTTGTGTCACTGTCACACAGGTACCTGCCACAGACTTCACCTGGTAGGTGTGGCCCTCTGTAGGGCCCAGTTACACACGTCCCCGAGGGAGGTGGGGGAAGCCCCAGCCCCGCCTTGGAAAGGGCGCTTAAAGCCCTTGGGAGCAGGTATGCCCACCAGTGCCTGATGCTGCTGCATCTTCTACCCCATCTTGGGGCTCCTATCACCCCAACAGGCTCTGCCAGGCCCGTGAGCCTCCGGCTGGATGGAGTCTCACACCCAAGTTCATAAGACTGCTAAGTGGCAAAGGCGGGGCTCTAAGCACGCTCCTGCATGGTTCCATCACAGCTCCTCCTTGACGTGGACTGTCGAGGTGGACCCTGTAGGGTGCCAGCCTGGGCCCGCAGACCACGTGGCTACAAGGCGGGGCTCTGGCTTCCCGCACATCACGCCGCTCGTCCTGATTTGACCAGAGTTTGGGTCACCATGGAAACGTACACCAATGACGCAGCTGAAGAGGCTTCTGATGATGACATGGGAAAGGCAGGTGGCGGAGAGCTGTGACTGTTTTCGGCGTCAAGTTTAATAGAGTGAAGTATAGTAACTGGCAAGTCCTGAAACGGCAGAGAATCCCAGCCTTCCTGAATAAGTCACAGGAAATCTCCAGGACAGAGTATTTACCCTGATTGACGATTTTTATCAAATACAACAGTCCCATTAATAATTGCCCTGAGGGCATTATTAGATAATAAACAATTCACGTTTTTGACTGATAAAGAGGTAGGCATTTAATTCAATCTAGTTTTATAAATATTTAGGCACCGATTCTATTTTCCTACCTAATAGTAGATTTTGCAACAGAGCTTTGATTTTTCTTCTCTCCTCTCAGTGAGCTATGAAATTATATCAGTGAGTGAAATGAACATGCGTCCCTCGCCCTCTTCCTATAAATCAATGCAGAAGCCAGGACAGACGGCACGGGATGACCATGACCCCAACAGCTATGGCCGGTCCTCACCTTAGCATGCTGTGACGGGGAAGAGGTGACTTACCACATACTCACCGTTTTCACCATTAGAAACAGGGAAAGCTGCTTCTGTTTGTGTTAATTTTGGTGGCAGGTTTCAGACTATTAAAATAATGAAAGCTGTTGAAATTTATCGGGGCCCTATGGCCATTTCCAAAGATCCGTACCCTCCATGCCCTCTCCTTTAAAGCATGTGCTGCATAAAATGTAATTTTTATCAATAACCAAGAAGCTCATAATATCACAGCTGCATTGAAATCTTCATGCTGTGAAATCTAATTCATCCAATACATGAATCCATCACTTATGCAGCCCCTTTCTCAAATGCTATAAAACTTCCAAACCCATAGATTTGTTTCCAACAAAAATCACATGAAGGGGCCTTTCAATCAATAATGGAATCCCTCTGATTCGGGCGCCGGCTGAGTATTTCTTCCAACTTCGCCTTTGTTCTTCTGGGTAGCAGCCCACAAGGGAAAGAGCTTGTTTTCACTCGCAGCCTCATCAATACCTAAATCCTGGTGAACAAGTGACACCGAGAAGCTGTAATCAATAGCTCCCTGTGCGTTTTTTTCTTCTGGTCAAATGGTTCAGCTCCACTGACAACCCTGACACTTCGAACATGATAGTAAGTCTTTATCAGTAGCCATCTGGGTGACTGGCAGAACACAACTGGGGGGTCATTAACACTCGTGGCAATCTGTGAATAAACTAGCTCCTCAGGAATGCATTTGTTTAGAAAAAGGTGGGAGACTCTCTGTGTAATGCATTGATTGCCTTTGAACTGCATTTAGCAAATTCTGTCTGAGGATGAAGAGGAAGGGTGCTTTCTGGACGGGGTGGGCCACGAGGAGTTTTCTACTCAATATACTGGGAAACTGACCATCCTCTCCTGCTGGGCTGGGCAGAGGGCCTTCCAGGAATGCTGACCGACCACCTTACAGCACCTGATGAGTCCTTCCTGGGAAACTCTGGAGAAATCAATCTCCTAGGATGGAGGAAAGCCCCACATAGCAAAAGCCATCCCTTACTCTGGTGGGGGAAGAGAAACGCATGCTGACAGCAAATGCAGTAATACGACCCAGCATGTGCTCCTGTTTATTGCAAGCCACCTAAGGAATTAATGCACAATGAGCTTTATGATGTTTTTTTTAACACTCTAAGTCCATTTTTCACTCTCCTCCCTTAAATGCACAATCGCTCTATTCAGCCTGAATATAAGGGAGGTTTTCAGTGAGCGAGTCTCAGCGAAGCACTGTCTGGGCTGGATGTGCGCAGCCTTCCGGCTGGGACGCTGCTGTCAGTGCCAAAGGGAAACACTCCTGAGGACACCTGACAATAGCAATGGCCACTGCTGGCTAGGGCCCTTCCTCCCTCAAGTCCTGGGTCACCCTGTACAATAGTAAACTACGTAGGTGAAGGTTTCTTGCGGGAGTATCTCTGGTGTGTCTGTGCCATACTTTGAGGCATCTGTGGGTACTGCAGCCGCGGGTACTGCTGCAGCCTTCTCCTCAGGGTGAAGGTCACTGCACACAGTGATGCCCACAGCAAGGCCACAGGGGGCCACCACCGCCTGGCTGCCCTCAGCACAGGAGGGATGTGGACGCCTGGAAGGGCGTGACGTGGCGCCCGTGGAACCGTCCTGCCTGGTGCTGTGCTCACCTCCAGTCTCGGCTCTGCCATGTGACGGGGTGTTGATGTGTGGACTCCTCGGACATTAGGGTTTGACGGCCCATGTGATACTACTTTGTATGTTTCAGTGGCTGAGGCCATACCGGAACAGAGACACTCATAGAGATTAATAGCGGGAGAAGAGAGTCACGCTGGTTTGCAGAACAATAAATGTCTCTGAATATTGCCACAAGCAGGATTGCTACGGCAGCTCCACTGCAGAGTGAGAAACTGCCGGCCTCACGAAAGGCTGCTGGGGGGGTGTCACCACGCTGCATGCCAGTTAGGGGAGCTTGTCCTTCTGGCAAACGGGGAGCTGCCCACAAGAGGGAGCGAGTGGAGTCGAGGCCACTGATGGGGCCACTCCCATCTTCACGTGTGTGCACGGAGGGAGCTGAACCCACCTCAGCGGGGAGAAGACGATGGTTAACTCTCCTGGAGGGGCAGGAAGAGTAGACACGGCCTGAGCAGGCGCTGCAGTGATGCAGGAGGAGAACCCCCAAACCCCATTCGCAGCCACAGTCCTCATGGGCCTTATGGAGCTGCAACACCACAGCGTCTGAGCTGCCTTTCCGCCAGGCTGAACACCTCAAAATGGACTCGCAACCAGGGAGAAGACGGCGGCCTTCCAGAGGAGATGGAGGTTAAGCTTTATTGGGAAATGTCAAAAACCATCCTCAGAAACTTGATTTGGTAACATCTCCCATGCACCCTAAAAATAAGACCCCTACTGTGTGCTGCAGACGTTTTATGACAATGGAGCTGAAGACGCTGCAATTAACGTGTGACAGGTGCCAGAGTAAGGGCCAACCGTGCCCACCAGCCACGTTGCCAACCCTGAGGACGGGAAGAGATGCAGGAGGGGAGACGGTGGCTATCCCTGTGGCACCTCGCTCCTGGGATATTTGGGATATTTTAATATGGCAGAAAGCTTGCCCAGATCAGGGTGTACACGATGACACTGCGATCCACTGCAAAACTAGCGGAGCTGCTTTTTAAGGACAAACAATGCAGTTTTGTGCAAAAGCCCATGTAACTGTCATCTCCTAGAAACGGAGGCTCTGCCCTGGGACGCCACAGCAGGCAGCAGGAGCAGCAGGCTGTGGTGTGAACATGCTGGCCTCTCTCCTGTGAGCAGAGATGGAAGTAGTTTTGAAAACCAACAGCAAAAGCCACAGTGATTTTTCAAAAAGTGGGGTCACTCTGATTTAGTCATTTCCATTCCACGACGGAGTGACCATATTTGCGCTCCCTGATCAGCATGCTTTGTCATGTTAGAGACTCTCAGAGCTTTCAGGAGAAGGCATTGCTAGCGTGACCGCGCACCATCCCTGGGTGAATGTTCCAGGGGTGTTCTTGAGGTTGCGTGGGTTCTCCCAGTGGGCCATGCAGATGGGGGCACCCTTCCTGCCCACCCCTCCCAGCAGGCACGCGTGGCAGGCCATGTGCAACTTCCCTCCTCATGCTATGTGGCCTGTGACCTGGGGGCCAGGCCCGGGTATTGGGAGATTGGAGAGCAAGGGCCCCTGATGTCCCCAGGTACCACAGGCCACGCTGCCCACCATGCTGTGTCCCGGCCAGGCCTTGTCCTCTGGGGAGCACGGCCTGAGGATGCACGGCCTGGGAGCCTCAAGCTCAGTGAAACCTGACTGCAGACACACGGGAAGGATAAGGACACAGAAGGGCTCTAGGTGCGCGGGGAGCGCCATCCCTGGTGAGACGCGAGGTGCGTGCGGTCCACCATCTGTGCTGCAAGGCCTCCCGTCCCGCGTGCTCATGTGTGGGGCTGTAGCTCTTGAGACCTAGGGAGCCGTGGGCCTCAGGGGGAGTGCAGCCCCAGAGAGATGGGGTTGGATGTGCACCCTTTCTTGGCCATCCTCCTAGGACGGAGGCACCTTGCAGGGAGGACTTTCTGTCTGTTTTGTTTGCTGCTATACTCCAGGCATCTCCAAGAGTGTGGATCATAAAACCGGCACCCAACACTTCCACCCACTGAGTGAGCGAGTGGGGTCCCCTCTGCCCCCTTGCCACTCTGCCAGGGTCCCTCCTCTCCTGCTCACTGTGACAACCAGAAGCTCAAGCGGTGCAGATGTGCTCCTGGAGGGAGGGGGCTTCCAGGAGTGTGGTGCCCGGGTCGCCTCTTTGCCTCTTCTGGAGGCATCTGGCACAATGGTCCCCATCACAGATGCTGTCCCTCTGCCCACCCCAGGAGCATGGCCTGCTGGGGAAACATGTGGCATCAGATGACCCCCGGCTGCCTGCATGTGCCCACCACCCGCAGCCATGTCCGCGCCATGAGAACTCACAGGGTTGCTTCTCATCGCTCCTCCCACTGCTCGCGCGGCTTTGGGGTTGCCTGCCAGGGCTGCTAATTGCTGGTAAGAAACCACTTCTCCGAATTTCACAGCCTTCAGCAGCTCCCATAACACCTGCCTGGTGAACGACTCTGAAAGGAAGAATGCAGAATGAGATTTGGACAAACAGCTTCCGCAGCTCTGATATAAACAGCTGCTAGTCCCAGAACAGGAAACGCATCGACACAAATAGAGGTGTTATACTCAATTAAAGCACGGCCTCCACGCATCGCTCTGCCACCATGTCACCAGGCGAGGAGACGTGGGTGTGACGCAGGCCACCACGCAGGCTGGCCCCTTGGAAGGCATCCGTGGGGCGGGCACGGCAGATGTGTAATTTCCTTCCACCTTCTGTGTTCCGTGCGGGGCTGCAAGTGCCGCCCTTCTAGCGACTGGGGGCGTGTAAGTGAGCGCATGGCCCAATTAATACGCACAGAAGTCCCTGCCTGCCTGCTTCCTTGGAAATCTTTTGTACTGCTGGTTAATATCCAAGTTCAGCTGGGACAAAGAAGGCAAAAGCGGCCACAGGCCAGGCTGCGACATGATGCTGGCTGTCCACATCCAGCCGTGCACAGGATTGCCCCCAGCTACCACTCGAAGAGCCAAGCACCACGGTACGCAGGGGCTGGCGGTGACCTTGGCTTCAGGCCAAGACCCTATTTAATGAATAGGGATGCAAAAATAAAATAACCCGATTCCCATTTTAATTGACTAACCACATCCAGCCGCATTTGTGCTGCATCCTGGTGCAGGAACGAGGGGGCAACTGTGGGAGAACATTGTCTCCATCTGCCTCCAGGTTTCAGACCTGTTACCTGGGAGTGGGGTCGGCAGGAGAGAAACCTGGGCACGCGAAGAAGGGCTGCCTGAATCAGTACCTATTGTCTTTCCAAGGGGGACATGCAGCTCAGGGGCACTGGACGGAGCCATGTCCTCTGTTGCAGGGGCTCCAGCCCTCCAGGGGCGGGAGTTCCTGAACAGCAGCAACAAAGGGAAGGCTTCCTCGGGCAGGGACGACGCTCTGAGTGTGTCCACAAGAACACTAATTACACTTGGTGCCAAGCTGGCAAAGTGTGATTTGGTTCTTAAAGGAAACACACCCTTACATGTGTGTTAAATAATAAAAATCACTTCTTAACTGAAGGGAACGATAATCACTTCACTGGGAAAAAAATCTGTTTAGTCTTTATTATAACATTAAGCAAATTAAACATCAGCATAATCCAGGTGATACTAGAAAAGGTTCATCAAAGAAATTAACTTTGTTGTTCATTAATTTACATGGATTAGTAGAGGGCAAAAGATAGCAAATGTGCTCTAGTTTTTTATGATATAATTTCAAACTGTACACCATTTGTGGCAGGAGGGTGACTTTGGGGTTAATCAGACTGATTTGTCCTTTTAATTGCTTTCTATTCAAAGAAAATTCATTAGATAATGTTCTCTTCAAAATTCATGAATCAATTTAACTGAAGAAACCACATTAACAGCTTTGGGTTCATTAGCACATGCAGTTGTATTACTGGCTGATGGCTGAGGGGGGAGGTTTCCTTGGGCAAATGCACTCTGTTTATTGTCATTTCTTTAGAAAGCATTTTGAAATCAAACTGTTAATCATTATCATGGTTGCTGTTGTTGCTATGCCTAACTTTGAAAAAAAGAAAATAAAAGCGAGGTAGCCTGGTGCTGACTTGGAGGAAAAGAGATTTCAGGGACAGCTGTCTTGGAAAAGAAACAATAAAAGCAGCCCTCCGATACCACAAGAAGCAGAGGCCAATTTCCTGCCTTCGCGGAGAACACAGGGTTGGTGGCTTTGGTTTCCGTGCTTTGACCCAGAGAGAGGATGCTGCCTGGGTTTTCTGGGAGAACGGCCTGGAACTTTACTAAACTTGCAGGAATGAAATGAGGGAGGTGTGCGCGAACCTCACCGGAGCGCAGAGCAGTTCCGAGAAACAATGGCACGGTTCCAAGGGCTCATCGGAGCGCCAGCCTCCAGTGCTGCTCTGACAAATTGCTGCCAAATGACGGAGCACCTTTCTTTCCAAGTGTAAAAGTATCGTATAATAAAACAATTATATGTCCATAGATGAGCACAGAGTTTATCAAACGTGTTCAGCTTCCTTGTCAGTTTCTCATGGGAAACCATTTCTTAACTGGTCCGTACTAGGCAACGTGGGGAAGTGTAGCTCAAACAATGCAATATTTAGCAATCAGGCACATGATTTTACAAACGCATCTGAAAACTCAGTTTACCCTGCAGCGAACAAATGCAGTCATTAGTTGAAGCAGCTCTCGAAGACCACAGTGCCTCTAACCCTCGCCTGTGCGAAATCGCATGGCTGAACAATGCCTGTTTCCTGAAGGGGCAACCCTTTCTGTGAAGCATCATTCTGTAACCTACTAAAATCCACTCCTGAACATTAACGCACGTGGAAGACAGAAGTTCTTGAGGTTGAGGTGACCACATCAGTCCTCAGTAGCTGGCACAATCAAGTGGCCCAAATGGGCAGCCATTTAAACAGCAGCTTTTTCTCACCATGGGCCTCCCCAGAGAGCAGGCCGGATGCCTTGGGGCTCTGGGATGCAGCACATTCTGGATGTTTCTCTCTCTCTCCTCTCTACCTCCCTTGTTTCCTTCCCAAACTCACCTTCCTCCTGCCTGTCCTGTGGTCCTGGGTACCCTGGGCTGGGCTTTCGTGGCTGGGATCAAGGGAGAGGACCAGTGTCTTGGAGTCCCACATCTGAGGGATGTGGCTATTTTCATTTCCGATTGGGTGGCTATTTAAATGCATGCACCATAACTGCCTCACCCAGAGAAGACAGTTTTCTACACCCTCTGCCTGCACTGTGCATCCTCTGCCAAGGGTCTGGATGCCCTTTTCTGATTCTGGTCACGGACACTGGGTTTTTATGCAAGGTGTTTACATGCCATGCCACAGGAGTGGAGCTCATGGCTCTGAGCAAGGCAGACGCGTGAACTTGGATCAACTTGGCCAAACCGAGCTCTAATAAGGAAGACGGCACACACCAGAGCCTGGCAGGAGGACGCAGATGGGACCAGCCTGGCTCTGCCACCGCGGGGCTCAGACTAATCACTTCCTTATCCTGGGTGTCCATCTCTCCTGTGTGATAAATCTCCTAAGAGCCACCTCAACAAACACATCTGTGTCTCAACTGTACACGGCCAGGCTTAGAGCACAGGCAACAGCAGGGCTGGTCGGGAGCTGGCCCTTGCTGAGTGAGGGGCTCTTCCCTGGGAGGCAGACCACCCCCAGGTTCTAGGGGAGGAGTCTTCTGTCCCGCAACCACCAGGCTCCCTGGGTGGTGAGCTGTCAAGGTCTGTGTGGGGTCCGGGGGGGGCAGGGGTGGCCTTCGGGTTGTGGCACTTTTCCTTGGCCAGGCTGCAGCTAGCAGGGGCACCCTCAGCCCCACGTGCACAGGTGCTACCTGCTGGGAGTGCCTGGGGAGAATCTTGGTAGCTGTGCTGGGGCCACGGCCAACAGAGAGCAACCGAGAACAAGAAAAAGCGGGAAACAGCAGGGCCCCAGCTCCTGCACAGCAGCGACGAGCCTAGAAGGGGGATCCCCGGGAGCTGGTGTCCCGGGCACAAGTCACAGCTGTTTGACCTAATGCTGCCTGGTTATCAAAAGCAGCCAGAATAAACTAACCTGAGACACTAAGATGGAGGGAAACAGGGATTCTGGTTCCAGGTAAAATGAAGCAAGAACTTTAGACTTGTTTCTTCTCCTGAATGTCTTTATAAAACCTGGGCAGAAGGCACAGGGCAGCTGTGTGAGGGCTGGGAAGAGGCAGGAGCAGTGGGCAGCCTTGGAAAGAAGATACGAATTTCAAGAAAAGACGAATGGGCTGGTCGGATGATCCCTCTGTCATCCTCAGCCTGAACTTACTACAGCCCGAGCCCTGGAGGCAGAGCCTGGCAGAGACGCGGAGCACCCCGGGGGCTCTAGTCCACTCTGTGGAAGGAAGAGCATCTCCTACTGCTACGGTTTACATGTGTTCCAGTGTTGGGAACAACTGCCACTGTGTTGAGAGGTGACGAGGTCCTGAGGGCCCCTCCCTCAGGAACGGGCGAATGTGGTTATTGCTGGCCCTGGTTACGGAGGGCCCCGGGCCCCTGTCTTCCTGTCTTGCATGCTTGCTTGCCATGGGATGCCTTCCATCGTGGGATGGCTCTCGGCAGATGCTGGTGCCAGGCCCTTGGACTTCTCAGCCCCCAGGACGCTGAGCCCAATACATTCCTATTCTTTGTCAGTTACCCAGACTACAGTGTTGTTAGAGCAGCAGAGAACAGAATGAGACAACTCTGTTCAGAGTGAGTGAGGAATTGTCTCTTTTTGGTATTATCTCTGAGACCTTGAACCTCAGCTCCTCCCTAAGCAATCCTGCGGTGTGGGTGACAGCAGGGGCCACTGGAGCCCAAACCAGTGAGGAGGAGATGGCCCCTTTCTGATGAGAAGAGGTGTGCTCCTCCTAAGAGGTGGGCAAAATCTCTTTGCTTTCGCCGCTTGGGCCCAGATTGGGGCTTAGTAACAGGAAGAGTTTAGCAGAGTGGGGTAAAGCCCCAGCCTTCTGTCCAGAGGACTGATGAGGGAGCCCTGAGAACTAAAAAGTGCCAAGAAGACGGTGGAGGAAGAGGAGTTTGTGGAAGCAAATCCAAACGTTGCTTACAAATTTCTGGATTCACCTGTTGAGGTGAGCTACTTCCCCGCCTGTTCCTGTGCACATGTGGATCTGACCCTAAACCACAGGCTTTGAGAACTGATGTGAGAATTAGGCACTGCCAGTTCCCAAACTGGCTGGTGAGTGGTGCACAAAAGGACTGATTTTAAGAGAACTGCAAAGGCTTTGAAACAACAAATATTGAAGGCTGATCAGAACTTACTAAATCCAGCCAGGCTGACTGCCTCCTACAACAAAAATAGCAACATTATGTGTAGGATTTATACGAAAACAAGAGTCTCATAATATTCAAAATGACCAGAATATGATCCAAAATTATCAAGCATGCAAATAATCACAAAAATAAACTCTCCAGGGAAAAGATAATCAACACACGCCAAGGCTGGCATGA